TTGTCCTCGCCATCAGTAACCACTACCAAATGCAACAATGTATTTACTTTACACCTGAAAGCCATCTTGTGCGCGAAGTTTCCTAGCCAAAGAAGATGTTAGACTTGAGCAGTGCCTTCAGTAAATTTAGGATCCTCACATCTGTACTTCCCATCAGGTCCAATTCCAAATCCCCTAGGATCTGCAAATACGTTTTCCAGAAGCTGACTACGAGCTGGAACAGGGCTTTCATCAGCAAACTCAACGGCATCTTCAACCACCTCCTCAATCTTCTTCTCTATGGCAATCAATTCCGATTCGCTTGCCAAATTGTTTTCCAACAGGTACTTCTTTAGTGCAGTAATTGGATCTCGGGTAGCATAGTGAGCTTTCTCAGCTGCCAAAATAAGAAAATATATAACTTCTGGATTCACTTCGAGTGAAAAATGCACATGGAGCAAATGCTTGATGATAAAAGTATTGTCCAAGTCAATGTCATGCAGTAACATACTTCGGATATAAACACAAGAATATGAAACCATAATTGTCAAACTTCCTGCATCTGTTACATGTCCAACGGCACCAATTTGGTGATAAATGTATTGTAACTTGCCGCGATATGAGAAGGAAGAAAAACAGGATTCAAGACAGCCAATGCAACCACCAATTCTCGGGGAGCAGGATGATGATTGATGACATCACTTAAACACTTGAAATTTTTGGTTGAAACCAATAGGTTGCACTAGCTTCTGAGAGTACTTTAAAAGACATAGCAACTCACCACCAACGTAAATGATGGAATGACAAAAGGATCTCAAATAAGTGTTTTTAAAGATGCCGGGCATAGGAATCCAAAAAATGCTTCTCAAACCATTAGATAGACAAATAACTGGAACAGGATAATGGATTGTGAAATGTGACATGAAGCAAGCTTATTACTTGCAATTCAGCATTCAGCTAAATCATGAATGCCATTGTTATGAATCCCATTGTTACTCCAAATATAATGCTCATGCAACATAGTTTGGAAAAAGAGTTAGATTTGAATAAAATCAAGTTTTTACAAGGTATAGTGAGCTTAGATCTATTGTTTAAGTCATCTTCTTCCGACAAAAGCGAAAATACCTTAAAAAGATCATATATGCCAAGCCCTGGACCCGAGTCCCAGGATGTCTACAATTAACCTTGTCTGTTTATGTTCGAAGAAACAAAACACATCCATAGTCTAGCTGAAAATGACTTCTTTCATGCTGAAGTATCATCCACATAAATAAATATAAACACTCTCAGTAAAAAGTTAGATAAGTATTGGAAGTGGCAAGAATAACAATTTTACTCGGGCCAAGATTATGATCGTAGAGTGGTCATTTTATGCAAGACGGATAAAAATTATAGAGATGGTCAGGAAAAATGTACTTCAGATTTGAAGAGAATATATAAGAACGAGAATATGAAATGCTTACAAGGGTCACGGAGCTCATCTGGATCAGCCAAAGAGTGTCCTCTAAACCTGTAGGTCTCACATTCAACCAAAGTTGGACCTTCACCTCTTCTAGCTCTGGTAATAGCTTCCTTTGCGATCTCCCTCACCTTCAACACATCCATACCATCAACATGAACCCCAGGCATTCCAAATGCTGGACCCTTTTTCCAAATTTGGGGATCAGAAGTGGCCCTCAAATGGGACATTCCAATTGCCCACAAATTGTTCTCAACAACGAACACGATGGGCAGCTTCCACAGTGCAGCCATGTTCAAGCACTCGAAGAACTGACCATTGTTGCAAGTTCCATCTCCAAAAAATGCCAACGTCACATCATCACAATCCTCCTTCAAAACTTCCCTCCTGTACTTGCTAGTGAAGGCTGCTCCCGTAGCCACAGGAATTCCTTCACCAATGAAAGCAAAGCCCCCAAGTACATTGTGCTCTTTGGAGAACATGTGCATTGAGCCACCCTGCCCTCTACAACAACCAGTGGTCTTGCCAAAGAGCTCACTCATTACAGCTCGAGCTGGGACCCCTTTGCTCAATGCATGGACATGGTCCCTATATGTGCTAACCACACAATCTCTGTTCCCCAATAGCTTGATGAAGCCAGTGGATACAGCTTCTTGGCCATTGTACAAATGAACAAATCCAAACATTTTGCCTCTGTAATACATCTGGGCACACATGTCCTCAAATGATCTCCCTAAAACCATATCCTCATACAATTCTAAACCCTCCTCTTTCGTAACCAACTGCATGCAAACACCATCAATCATTACTAAAAATCTATAAAATTCAAAACCCATTTTAGTTTTTTAACAAAATACATTCAATCATTAAATTGTAACAAGTTGCAGATAGACACTGACAATTGCAAAACACTAAACTATTGAACATTGAAACCCTGTTAATTTTTTTACTCTAAACTACAAGAGCACAAACGCATGCTATCATCATAAATAGCAAATCACAAGCAAGTCTTCTGTCCAAATGTAAATATGTCATGTGCAATTATACATCCCATATTCAATTTAATAAAATTATAAAAAGAAGGGCATTTGAATACCAGATTGGAGACGGGATTAGATTCCACCTTCTTCTTCTTGACGACATCAGAGGAGACAGCAACTACAGTGGCTGATCGGCGACTGAGAGGCGAAATAGTTTTGTTAATGGAAAACAGCTTCTTGTTGGGTCCAAGAAAAGAGGAGGGGCATAGTAATTTAGTACAATTATCAGACTTATCAGGAGATCTGGTGGAGTTGATGGACATAGGAGGTTGGATGATTTTAGCAGTTGCAGAACAAGCCATTTTGGTTCAAAAAACTTATGGGTTGTTTTTGTTTGCAAAGAATGAGGAGAATTTAGGTTCCGATGTGAATTTGTTAGTGAGAAGGAGAAGAAGATTAAGCAAAAAGGGAGCTTTAACAGGAAAAAAAAAAAAGGGGGCGGAGAAAACGAGTGTGCGTTGAAATAACCGTCAAAATCGTTGATTACAAGGATTGATTGTTATATGTGTATTCTCTCTCTCTGCATTGTGAATTAGGGATGGTAAAATTTGAAAAAAAAAAAGTATATTAAATATTTATTATTTAATCGAGATTTAAACATATAAGAATAATAATATATGTATTCAAATTAAATAGTGACATTGAGGATTGAGTTCTCATGTTAAATTCTCGAAGAATTCACTTCAAGCACTTTGGGGCACAATAGGTCCAACCTATATGCTTTGTCACGTTCCATAGAGTTGAAATTGTTGTCCTAAACTTATTGTTCTACAAGCATTTTTGTGTCTTCTCATTTTTTGAAAGTCACAATCGAAAAAGTAAATTTAGGCTCTATTCTATATCATTACATCTTAACGATATGTTATAGCATTTCCATTATTTGTGTTCATTGAATAGTTTTCTTTGCCTAACATGTGAGGTGATGTGGTGGAAAAAAAAAAGAAAAAACACTTTTAAGCTTAGCCTAGAAGGGTTTGAATGGGCTTATCCTTTTTTTCTTTTAATACTTTAGAGGATAACAAACTTAGCCTCTGATTGATGGAAGTTAATTAATTTAAGCCACATATTTCATGTGATTCACAACTTTTCAACCACAAAATATTATCCACCTTTTATGAAAATTTGATGATGATCTTCCCCAAACAGGGCTTTAATATAATTGTGATTTGTTCAATATCTTTTTCTTGTGTACTAAAGTAGAAATATCTCCTTCTCCTTTGATCTCTAGAAATTTGCCAGCAAGTAGTGTGTGCTGTGGGGATAATGATCGATTTGCCAATGAAACAACAGATGATTCTGTTCATTTCATAATATATTTTATTTTTGAAGTGAACAGTACAACTAAGGGGTCCATAGCTCAGTGGTAGAGCATTTGACTGCAGATCAAGAGGTCACCGGTTCGAACCCGGTTGGGCCCTTTTCATCAATTTGATTTTTGTTGGGAATTTGGAGAAAATTGTCCCTTACCTTTTCCTTCAGTGTGCGAATGGACGTTTGTTTCTCAGCAAAAGGTTGCTAGTAAGTGTGTTTAGGAGCACAATTGATCCTTTTTGTGATAAGACCAATACACCCTTAGTTTTTATTAAGGAAAATTGTAGTTGGGACCCTAACATTTACAAAAGGTGCAAATGAATCTTCTATACTATACATTATTTTTTCTATCTTATATAAAATTAAAAGACACTAATGAATTCATTATTTTTTTATTTTTGTTTTTTCAATTAAAACTTTATGGACGAAATTCATAGCATATGTAAATTGTTTTCTATATTTTGAGAAATTTATGAAATAACTTAAATTTAAGCTTATATTTAACTAACTAAAGTGTTAAAGAAACACATGTTACGGTCTATTTCTGCACTAAAACATTGCTTCAGTTCACTGTCCTCCCACTTTCAAAGGAAGCAATCAAAGGGGCAACTAGACAAAACCCAAACAACTCCAAATTAGACAAAAAAAAAAAGGGTAATATCTTCATCAGAAAATTTCATTGAATTCATATGATTTATGTACGAAACCTTAACATCTCATTATCAAATACATCCTAATACCACATGTTCTCAAATATATACAAGGCAACTTAAGTACATGGCATACAACTAACTAGCGCATTTAATATAACCAATACCATTAAAAGGAAAAAAATTCAACACTATTATTTTCATTTCATTTCTACAAAATGTCATCTCAACAAAGATTATCAGTTAGTTGCTGCATTGCTGTGTATCACCTCTTACTCGCCTTCTCCTTACCTTCAAATATAAATAAATATATAAACAAAATAATACAAACGATCATGTAGTTCGATTAATCAGCATTCTGTTAATCGTAGAGATAATAAAAGAAAAACTCACCAAATATATTCGATTTCAGAGGGAATCGAACTGAAGATCCTCTCACTTTTACATCCTTCAGTTGCCTGCTCCTAGCTGGCTTTTCTGTTTTGGAAAGACTTCTGCTGCTGCTTTCTCCTCCTAAATCATCACTTCTTTTCTTTATAATCTTTTCATGGTAAACTGCGGGCGGTGCAAGCCTCAATGGAGGCATGTTCTCCATCTGCGTCGACTTGTGGTCTTTCTGAAGATTATTCAAGAACTCAAACTGTCGCGACCATGTTCAAAAAGTAGCGAATAGTTAGAGAATGCCAAAAAAGAAACAACTTTAAGAAAGTAATCAGTAAATGACAAACCCTTGACACTGGCTGAGAACCGTATGAATTCTCAAAAGAATCGTAATCGTGCGGATGCAAAGCTATTGTCCCATGTGGTTGCTGGCTCCTTGATGATGACTTGCTAACTAGTCCATTCTGTGTAAAAAATGATATGCCACTTGATTTCTGAGCTTTCTTCCTAGGCATGCAAATGGGACATCCAGTAAAGGAGCCCCTAACTGATGCCCCGTTCTCAGGAAGTTCACAGTGGAGATGTATTGCATGACCACAACTGAAAATTTGAATTCCAGAATCATCCGAGCTTTTGGCGAGTAGGCCATTACATATGCAACAAACTCTGCTCCCGGGGGAATAACCATGAGAAGCTCCCTTTCTGAGTAAACTCAGTGTATAGTATGTATCATCTTCGATTAAACTTTTGGCAGTGTCCTGATACATCAGAAAGAACAGTTACCTAAAAAATACTCGTGTGGGTTAAGTCAAAGCTACATAATTTAGACCCAGATAAGGCCAAAAAACTAACACACTATACTATTAACTTATTCTGATGTTCTTTGAGTCACATTGATGCTAAAAGAAATAATAATTTATATACAGAAATACATAGAAGTACATGCAAAAATCCGACCATATTTTTTTTCTCCTTTCAGCTCGAACTATTTTCACCCAAAATCAAGAAGGGAAAATTTGATAGTTGTATCTTTTAACCATTGTATTTTCTCAACCAAACACTGCTCAGGGGGAAAGCCTGTGTACTTCCAACAAATTCGGAAATAAAACTATATGAAAATGAATACTTAAAATTGTGAATAAATGTTTATATGTACATCCTGGTTGGTTTTCTAAGCCTCCACTAGGGAAGAATTTATAAATGGTTTAATTTATAAAAAGATAGAAATGAGTGTTGAATAAGTGTACAATCCCCGTGGGTACATTGGAATGTTTGGTTGAAAATAAAGTCTAACCGTTTATAAATGATTTATAAATTTTACCAAAGCGAGGCTAAAAATTTACACAGTATTGCATAAATATAAGTAAAAAATAATAATGATTATATGAAAAGGAAATATACAAGCCGTACCAATATTCTTCTTTCGAAATCATATGTTCCAAGCATCCCCAATATTGTAAGTTTGAAATCGCCAAATTCTTGGTTTCCATTATCAGAAAGAAGTTTTGACATGATCCTTGGGAGCTGAACATATCCGATCATGCCATCAACAATCTCTTTAATAAACATGGAAGTCAGTTTCCTCATGATGCGAGCACCTTTATGAGACTTGGAGAACTTCCATTTAATTTTGGACCCTTCTTCATCTCCCTGATTACCAAATGATCCATCAAGCGTTTCCTTCTCTGCTTTGCTTTCAGAATTTGTACTATCACTATCTGAATCCATCAGAGGCTTGCAAAACCTGTAATGGAATTACAACGTTGATTAGAAGTGGTTCAACCACAAAAGAATGAGTGACGGGAAAAATATATGTAAATAAGTAGATGTGAAATAATTCCATGTACAAGCAGAAAGCTGAATCAAGACACTTAACAATTGCCTTTTGCAAAGATACAGTATATTTTCCAATTCTAGATTGTAGATAAGAAGTCAGTATTATAAGGTTTAGCAACCAAAAGAAAAGGAAAGGACAACGAGGGTGTAAGATATCTAATCCACATACCGAGCACTTTCAGCTTCTATGCAGTCAAAGTTACTACAAAATTGTGTCAAACAAGCACAATAGTCTATAAACTGCTTTGCAATCAAAACTATAGAACCATCTACATAAATCACTTGATGATCCTTCATGGTCAAATGATCATAAAACCATGTACACCAAGCACAAGCTTATTCTCATAGGAAGATGTCGTTGAAGTGCCATGTGCGATGGGACAGTAATCAAAGCATGACCAACTTTTGCTACGTTAAAAGGAGAAATAGGAAACGAAAAGAAAACACTAGAGGAAGTAATAGGCCATAACTAAAATACTACTTCGAATTTGGAAAGGGGAGAAAAAAAAAAAAAACCCAAAGACTTGACAGAAAATATAATGCCGTCTACTCATTCAGATATTAGGAAATTATTAACCTCAAAGGTCACCTTTAAAGTAAGGTAAAATGAGCAAGAAGATCCCCTTTACAAACTAGTATTACCAGCAGGACAAAAGTTAACAAACGGATCAAACCAGGAAAAAAATGAAGTAAATATATCAGAAGAGATGGACTTACGAATCAAGCAACTGAAACCAGAGATACTCAGACTCATCCGGATCCAATCGGGGGCTGTTCCGTTGGCATAGACCAATACAAGCATGCACAATATCAAGAATTTCAATGACCTGAAACAATAATTACGAACATTAAAATTAATTAGACAAGGATATTGAATTGCAAGGGAAGGGAAGCTGAGGGATAATTCAGCAGTTGAACAGACTTCTTTTCTCTTTAAAACAGCATTAAGATGATCCAGACTAGCACCAGAAAGTCCATCTTCAATAGCAACATTAAGCACAATCATTTTATCATTAAGATCAGAAAGAATGAGCAACAGAGCACTTCCAACATCTCCAACTCTTTCTAATAAAAATGCAGCTGCGTCTATAATTTGATATTCCTGGCACAAACGTAAACAGTGTTCCACCCTATAGCTTTCAGAAGTCTCCAAGAATTTCAGTACGGATTTGCTCTCATACTGACATAACAGCTGCAAAAGTTAAACACAATGAACTTTAAGTTTCCACGCTATCACAAAGTACATGCATTTCATGGTTTAGTAATCATCATGAAGTAACCAACTAGGGTAAAAAAAAAAAGAGTTATCGAAGCCAAAAAAGCGAGTAACTGAGAGATCTATATCAAATCATGATGAGCATGAGAATTGAAGCAAACTACAGGATTGGATGTATCAGGCACAAAAATCGAATTTAAAAACAATATAAAAATGGTTTCATCCCCAGAAGTTGAAACAGATATTGACTTTTTTAGCATAGGTCAAAAAAACCAATGAATATATCCACAAAAAACAAGAAAAGAAAAAAAAAGAGCGATAAGATTACTGAATGCACAGAAAAAAGAGGAAGGAGAAGCAAGGTTAAGTTACATGTTGACAGGAGTAGAACTTGTTAAATATTCTAACTTCCCAGTTCCCAAACCAGCGCCCACAGATCCAAAACAATGTTCTTCCCATTCAAATCATCTCGACGAAGACATTATCATACAAACACGAGCAGTTTCTATCAAACTGCCATCTTCTATTTGGATCACCTTGAGGGAGACATTATAATTGCCATAATGCTAGATACAGGTGTATTTATTAAATTTGAAACTTACTTGCCACGATTTCGGGCAACACCACAGCATCAAAGATACCGAATTCAACTTACCATTTTTTTTTTTTTTAATAACCGTGGATGTTCGAGCCAGTTTGCACGCACCTCGACTAATCCCACGGAGCCCTGAGATTTACAACCGAGTACTTACCTCAGTGGTTCTGAGGGGACTCGAACTGGTGACCATAGAGAATACAAAATATTCAGTTGAATAAATATACTTAATCCCATATCCACATAGGCTACTCCCTCAACATTTGATCACAAAAGCTATGTACAACTGGTCGTGCCCATAGCGTTCAGGGAAACCACAATCAAGTTTGTAGGAAACCTTCCTAGAGATCCACATCATTTTTTATATGTAAATCTATGTAATAATACATTTTTTATGGTAAACAATAACCTGGAGCATTGAAGATATTATATATTTTTTGATAAGTATTGAAGATATTATATATTTAATACATAAAAATATGCACACTGGCCTTCTGACATGAATTGTTTCAGAAATTTTCACCTCAAGATATAACTCTGTCATTTCATCAGTAATCTGAACTGTACTGTTGTGCAGAAGTTTAGGGAAGCCGGATATTGTTTGCAGATAAGCTTCAACGCTAGATGACTGCTGCCTAGGTCTTCTTGCGCTGGGAAAATATAAAATATCGTCTTTTTTTAAAGAAGAGAGGTTCAGGTTACCAGTTGTGTTAACCTCAATAACCGTCTTCAGATAGAGGAAAAGGCTTTCTGGATGAGAGCGAAGCTCAGACAAAATATATTGACTTTGACCAGATAAATGGTCAAGAATCAGCAAGTAAGTTCCTTCTCTGAAAATCTCAGAAAAAGCAACACAATCATCAGGAAAGAGAAATTGCATATTAAACCATTCTAGTTCATGTCCACAAATGCATAAGTACTTATGAGAAGCACCATAATATAAAAGCATCACCTGCTTAATTTGAGAAGATCTGGAATTCGAGAAATAACAGCTGATTCAAAAGCATCACGTTCTTTTTCATCGAGTTGTTGCAGCATAACATGGATAAAGGAAAAGGCGAGAATGGGTTCATCCGTAGCTTTCATATAGCTATCCAAAGCAGCAACATACTGATGCTTGATGGCATGAATGCAGCCACAAACCTAAATAAATAAGCACTTTGATTAATAAATTGCATTCAATGATATTACCAGGACCTACATATTTTTTGCCCTCGGACGTATATTATTGCATGGTGAATACAGGAGAGCAGGCGAGAAAATTGCGAGAAAGAGAAAAAAATTTCGTATTATTAACATAGTATTGACGATCTTTTCTAATACAGTATATTGCAGTCGTCTTAATTCTTTATCACTCCCTGTCCTAGTTGCAAGGGAAAGACAAGGCAGCCATGAGGAATTCTATACAACTCTACTGTCATTTGCCTCCCTCCTTCCAATCCCAATGGGAAGATGACAGGATGGGCGCTTTATGTTCACTTGTGCATGGCTTGTAATTCCCTTCCACTTTTATCCAATCAAACAAAATGAGAAGTACAGAATGCGTATGGTTTAAATACCTGATGAAACTGAGCCTTTGCACACAAATGTAACAAGTATGGAGTATCCCAGCGAGTCTCGGGAACCACTTCTACAAGTGCAAGTAGTTGCTTCTCTCTTCTTTTAATTGTTTCTATTGTCTGCCCTGACAAACTATGTGAAATATTTATCTCCGACGTCAAGTACTCCAAAATTTGAGTTAGGATATTATTTGAGACATTGGCTCTTCCACAGGCTACATAGTATGCTGTGAAGTCATACATGTGACCTGCATCTTTCTTCGAAGGCCAGATTTCTATAGAGTTAATGTCATCACTGTTGATAGAACTGCCTGTTTGGAAGTAACTTGAGTCCAGAATATCAGCAAGAACATCTACTACTTTCTGAACCAAAATTTGACTTTCATCCATCAAATCATTTACTTCAGCTAACTCCGATTTTATTGATCCCTGCGAAAAGCAGTTTATTTCATCTTCTTCTGTAAATGCAAATCTCAAAACATCTAGAGTGGCTTCAGTATCCAATTCTAACAGATGTAGCAGGTTTGGACAAGCTCCATTTGATTGTAAGGTTCTAACTGTCCATGCATTTTGAGCACTAGAAATCTCCAATAGAAATTGCACAAGTTCTTTTCTAAGAGATGGCAGACGTGTAGGAGAAAGCTTTCCATGTCCTGCAATACAAAAATATCATTGCTTGTCAATTCCTTAAATTGTTTAACACCAAACCTATAGCTAGATAAGAAATGTAAAGACTAAACAGTTTCAAGGAGAATAACAGATAAACTAATTAGTTACAGATAATTAAAGGGTAATTAGCACATAACATCCCCATTTTTTACTGTTATTGTGGAAAACGTCCATACCTTTCATTTTTTGACATTTTCACTCTTATTTTCACCTTTCATTGTGCAAAAGATCATTTTTCTCCATTTTCTGAATTAAAAATTGTCAAATAACGAAAATATCCTTCCCTTCAAATAAAACAAAAGGAAAAAGACAAAAACTAATTGCAAACACAGTCCCAACTTTTTTGAAAAGTGCAAATGAGTCCCAAATAAATTATTAAAAGGGTAATTAGCACATAATGTCCCTATCTTTCACTATTATTGAGAAAAACATCCATATCTTTTTGGCATTTTTTCCTTTAATTATAATTTGATAGTGCAAACCATTATTTCTATCAATTTTCATCCAATTTCTCAATAAAAAACAGTAGGATGACGAATATACCCTCATATTTAAATAAAAAAACTACAGAATTAATTGCAACCATTGTCCCAATTTTTTTTAAAAAGTACAAACGAGTCCCCAATAAATTTTTAAAAAAATAATTTTTTTATGAAAAGTGCAAACGAGTCCCAATTAAATTTATTTAAAAATTAAAAAAATTAAAAAGTGCAAACGAGTCCTAAATAAATTATTAAAAAATTAGAAATTAAAAAAAAATATTTTTTATTAATTATGAGGGTATATTCATTATTTCACAGTTCTTTATTGAGAAATTGGATGAAAATAGATAGAAATGATGAAAAATTAAAAAATACAAATGAGTCCCAAATAAATTATTAAAAAAATATAAATTAGTTTTGAAAAAAGTGCAAATGAGTCCCAAATAAATTATTAAAAAATTAGAAATTAAAAAAATATATTTTTTATTAATTATGAGGGTATATTCATTATTTCACAGTTCTTTATTGAGAAATTGGATGAAAATAAATAGAAATGATGATTTGCGCTATCGAATTATAATTAAGGGAAAAAATGTCAAAAAAATAAAAGGTATGGATGTTTTTCGCAATAATAGTGAAAGCTAGAGGCATTATGTACTAATTACTCTTTTAATAATTTATTTGGGACTCATTTGAGCTTTTCAAAAAAGTTGGAACTATGTTTGCAATTAGTTTTTTCTTTTTTCTTTTGTTTTATTTTAAAAAAGGGTATTTTCGTCATTTCACAAATTAAAATGACATTTTGCTCAATGAAAAGTGAAAATGCCAAAAAATGAAAGGTGGAGACATTTTCCACAATAACAATGAAAGGTGGGGACGTTATGTGCTAATTACCCATAACTAATATGAATGTTAGCATCATGATATTTTTCCTTCAGTATCATCAGTTAAATTAAGCCCCCGCCCCCCAAACCTCATTTATTGATACTCATACGTAATCTGATCTCACCAAACAGAAAATGATTCCCAGAAAAGTTAACTGGATAAAAAGGCCAAAGCAGCAGTTTGAAGACAGACCTGGGGGGAAAGCAAGACCCTGAAAGCAGTACTTCAAGTAAACAAGCATCCTATACCTGTTGCATGGATTACAATGTGATTACTTTGACATAGTAGGGGGAAAAAATATGGTAATATTTCATAAGGAAAATCCTCTTGATCTTTAAAAAGGAGAATAAACTCCGAAGACAACTATTGCGCAGATCCTTAAAACATTACTAATAGTAAATACCACAAACCGAAGTGACTTACCCAAGGGAAGCAGCACTCTCTCTTTCGCTATTTCGTAGTACAACCAAGAGCTCCTCTAGAGGTGCCCTAAAATCATCCAGACCTTTGTTAAACAAATATATCAGTGCACCATGCAACCTGTGTTCCCTGCATAAGCGTACAACCTACAATCCAATTATAAATTGTTAACAGCTAGCAATGCTAAAAAAAGAAATGATGCAAGTGTGAAGAATAATATCAGCACACGCGGTCAATGAGAATTCATTATTAGGGACTCATGGGCAGGTAAAACAGAAGTGCAGCTGTAACAACCCGGGTCTCTATACCCAAGTCGTTAGCTTACGTATTTTTGTAAAGACCTGAGTCTCTATACCCAAGCCATTAGCTTTTGTACTATCCGCTTTGGGTGAACATATACCCACTTAATCCCCCACGACTTTCTATCGCGTCCGCCCATTTGATACCAAGATTCAATTTAAATCTCTCATTAGGTAGAGGTTTGGGGGCTCAAATTCTGGGGACGCAATAGAAAGTCGTGAGAGGTTAAGTGTGTATATGCTCACTCAAAGCAGATAGTACATAAGCTAACGACTTGGATATAGAGACTCGAGTCGTTACGGCAACCACGCATACGATTGTTAATTAACGAGCTCAAGATGTAATATGCTTATGAAGGATCACAATGCATCTTAAAATGGAGAGATGGAGAGCACTATTATAGTAGCCAAATCAGCATATGCATCTGCTACATTACAATATATAGAGTTTCTCAAGCAGGATCAGCAATGGCTTCCTCCAAAGAATTATCAAATAAATACTGTGAACATCTCCAGCAGTATACTAATTCCCATTAAAGTGATAATACCGTCAACTAAGATTACATCATTACCTGATTAAAATCCAAGGACAAAATGTCCATGTGGAGAACACACTGTTCAACTCGTTGCAACCAACCTTTCTCACTATAATGCTCCACTAATGCTTGCATAATCTTCGGAAGAAATGAATAACATATCAATTGCAGTAACAGGTATATAGTAATTAATTCACAAAACATAAGATGAATATAAAAACAAAGCAGTTATGGTCAGCATGTTTAAGTGAAATTACCGCAGGTGGAAGGGATCCCAACATATCTTTCAAAATATATGGCTCCAAAAGCTCCAAAAATGTATCTACAAAAGGAGAAAATGGCATTAGAAATAACAATAAGATTTAACTTTCAGCGGACAAACCGCCACCGCAGAATTAAGAATAGTACCCACCCATGTCACTGAGAACAAGTGCATCTAAAAACATGGACAACTAACAAAACCATCATCTTGTTGATAAATCTGTCTTAACTACAATAATCACATAAGAACACAGCTAGCTCCTGTTTGACAGCCTTTTTTTCATAAGAATTTAATTTTTTCTACAGTGCGCGTGGGCCCAACTATCACACCATACAATCATTTCTCATCACTTTCATTTGTCCCACTAGCCGTTTGTTTTTTGGTATTTTGATTTGTTCCAAAATTGCCTTCTATTGCAATTGTAGAGAAAAGACGGGTAAAGTAGTAAATTGGTAGTATTTCATTGAGGGCAGGAATGGGAAAATGAAATTTCAATGGGTGGTTGTGCATTATTTCAAGTTATGGCATGTCAGGTGTCACTTTCATTTTAAAATAATATACCACTGTTCCAAAATTTATAATTTCTACAAAATGGGGGCCAAACATAGCTCTAATTCACTCAAATAGGCTTTAGGAACTTAAAAAATACATTAAATTGACCATTTGATTGAGGGTCAAGTCCTTCTTTTGAGTATAAATAGTATTTTTTTTTTTCCAAATCCAACACTTCACAGTATTTCCATGTCAGACACCCATTACAAGAGTCATGTAACATAGCCTAAAATAAACCTCGTGATGAGAACAGGAAACATCTTTAATTTCTTATAATATGAGGCTGTCTATGTTTTAAACAAAAGGTTATCATCTATTAATTAATTTTCAGTACATAATTATGTAAATTTCCATCAGTCACGTCATCCAAGAGCTAGAATTCCGTTCATTGTTGAGTTTATATTCCTAGCCAGTCATTAATCCATTGATTCAGGAAAACCTTATTGAAAATCCATGCTCTCATATGATTCAGTTAAAGGTTTCAGTAAGAAAACTAATGAAGTACCTTTATGCTGAGCTTCATCAAATTTTGAAACAATTTCATCAAAGAGGATATCGGTTCTCCTGATATGCACACAGAACTCAACTGCAACGCCACCAACACGAGTGTATTGCTCCTTAATCTCATTGGATTGATCCAGCTTCCCATTTTGGTTGCAACATGCTACTGATATATAGGAAAATACCTCACTTACATATGACAGAAGCAACTCCACTAAATAGGGCATAATACTCCTCTGAATGTCATCCAAATTTTTGGGAAGGTCAATAACACCATGTGATTGGCCATCATAAAGTGTCATTGCCATGTTTAATGCCCCCATCCAATCACCTGCTTTCCTCAAAACTTCAATCCTTTCCTTCCACGGAAGAAAGCGGGAAACAATAAGATGCTCTGGCCCAAGTATGTATATAGTAGCCCCCCTTACAGCTACACAATTGTGATAAGCTTTTTCAGGGTTACCAAGAGTATTAGTAAAGTAGATATGTGATGAGATGAGATCATCCCCTCGCAATCCATCCACAGCAAAGCTTGTCTGATGAATCACATTTCCATCTTTCGCAAACAAATAGAGTTGTCTAGTCAAAGTGAGAATCACCAACATCTGGACAATATAAGATAACCATGATTTCTTCTACTTCCATCTAAATAAATAAAATGTTAAACTTCAAATAATGCAAACATAATTACATGCTAATCACGACCAAAATAAAAAGTACAGCAATATGCATAAAGAGGATTAGATAATATATGTTTCAAACCTGATCATCTAACCATGCCAGGCCTACTGCTGGACTTTCCAGAGTCCACTTTTCAAGTATCTTTAGCTCGGATTTCACCAGCTTAGCAATCTGAACTTTCTGATCCCAAGCAATTGCAAGCAGTGAAATCTTTTCTAGTGTGTCAGCGGGTGCATTTTCTGGGGTAAATGTAGAAATTAAAATTCTAAATTCATCTACCTCCAACAGCTGAAAAATAAGAAGAACTTCATTCATACATACCAGTGGAAGAACCAGGTGACTGCGACATGCATCTCCATGCGGCATAAGGCATGGAGCCTTCCCTGATGCCATCAGGTTTAGGAATTTGAGCATATACTTCTACAGTAGGATTAACTTTTGCCTACAGGAGACAAATAATATCAAATTAACAGGAGGTACAAGGAATCACTGCAATTTTTTCCAAAAAAAAAGAAAACCATACCACTAGAGCAGATTGATGCGTGACAAAGATGACGATACCTTCTTCAACCACACTTCCCATCATGCTACTAATACTCCCAGTAGAAACTGCACTGCTACCCTGAGAGGACATCTGTGCACCTCCGTGAACTTCACCTGACAGTAATGGAGATGCACACACTACTCTGCTAGTTGTTTCATCTAGAAGTTTCTGCTCTTGAACATAAAGTAACTTTTAATAATTTGAGGAAGCTGACAACACTTATTAACAATACACTCAACAAAGATAGATCTTTACCATCGATTTGGAGTAGGAAATTCTATTGAGCCATGGAACCACTGAAAAACGAATCAACTTAATCACGCCCTTGCTATCCCCGCTAACCACATTAAACTGACGTGTAACCTGAGTATCCTGCCCTACATATAGCATATGAACTACTGGAGCTTTATGTTCATTAATCACTCTAAGTGCAGAGGTCTTCTGAACATCCCAAACAATGTAGTGCCCATCACCATATCCTGCAAAAAGCAAGTCTCCTGGCTGATTAAAGCACATGGAAGTTACTGGAACATGAGTTCTATCTCCTTGTAATCCAAGCACCGACATCTGGAATACGTATTTGCATCATTCAGTAGGCAAAATAAGTTAATTTAGAAATATGCTGACTATTAGTTCAAGGCTGTATAATACATCTAGTCGCAATAAGAAACAAACCCTTTTGAAAAGGCTTAGTCATTGCAAATGCTTTGATCTAGCCAAAAACAAAAGTGACTTTTATCGTTCTCCGTGAAATTTGACAAATCGAAGTGGAACTATACTTGTCCAACATATAGTCATAAAAAATATATGTAGAAGTACAAACAGGAAAATGAAGCAGAAACCGTCATCATCGTGTGAAAAGATGTGTTTATCGTATTGAAAGGTAAATGTAGTATAAATGAAGAATGAATATAATAGTAAACCTTTGCGTCCATGTTGTCAATTTGATGACGAGTATATTTGCTGGGCACAATGACAATAGTTCCTTTAGACATCCCAATTGCAATGAAGTTAAAATTAACTGCCAGGACTAGAGGGGACCCATGATCTCGCCGGAAAGCTTGTGATGAGATGGTATGAGAAATGGTATTGTTGGCATTAACATCAAAGTAACCCAACAAAGTAGAACCCCTGCGGACACCCTCAAGCCTCATTGGTTGAGAAGTAACACCCTCTTCGTAATGCATTCCCTTAAATGCGTGTTTCTTCTCGAGTTCTTCAGCCAATTCAAGCGGCTTCAAGGAAGATTGAGATTTCTTTTGTGACTTTCTCCTTCCCCTCTTGCTTTCCGACTTTAAACCTAATTCTTCAACAACATCTTCAACGTCGTATTGTGACCTAGCATCATCTCCATCTCTAGATTCATCCATTGCATTCCCCTGATCATTTGCTTCTTCTTCTCCCATTAAACTCACAATTTCATCCGAACTTATTCTGTCATTGGAAGTTAAAGGTGGTGGACTAGGAGCAGCCATCTCTTTAATTTCATTGGATTCATCAACAGAGTTAATTTCAGCATTTACATCATTGTTGTCGTTCAATAAGAAAGATAAGACTTGTTTGTTTTCATTAACTTCATCCAAAACTGAATCCAACCTATTCTCATTAAATTCAAACTGTTTTTCATTTTCAACAGTAGAGCTGATGTGGGATTCAGAAATGAACCTTTCAGAAACTTGCTCCACAATCGTTAAATGCTCATCCACAGTAGCATCCTCAGTTGAAGTTTCATCACTAGTTAAAACTTGAGCACTCTCAGTGGGATCGTTGATAGTATCTACAGTATCGGTCAATCTAACTTTAGCTTGTGCAGATTGAAAAACATCCAATTTAACCTCTTCTTCTGAGTGGTTACTATTGTTTTCAAGAACACGCAAACCATGGCTCTCAGAACCAGTCTCAGAACTCACCTCAGAATCTTTGGAAATTTCTGATAAAGGCGAGGTTTCTACACTAGCAGCAATAGCAGTGGTTTCCAAAGCCACCCTCTGCAGAGCACTGGTATTGGCCCTTCTCAACTTGATGGCAGCCGCGTGGGGAGTAGGAACTGATCGGGATGCCGCTGCTGCAGCGGCCAGAGCAGCCCCTGGCTTAGTTTGGGAGCTTACTGCCCCATTGATGAATAGTGGCGGTAAAACAATCCGGCTTAACGAAAAAGAACTAGCAGCAGTATTCTCACCCGCTGACTTAATTCTACTGCTACTAGAGCTATCAAAGCTAGTACTAGTAGTTGAACTCTTAAATTTATTGAATTCAACCACGGATGTAGGAGGGCGTGAATATGATAATTTTGGGGAAGAAGGGGGAGAGGGAGAGCAGGAAGATGAGGAATTGTTCAAAAGAATTTCATCGACCGTGCGGTGGTGACTACGAGACAAGGTGGAATCTACCTCATCGGAAGAATTGGAGTCAACTCCGCCGTGCGATTGGAGGAGAGAGTCAAGATCAACTTTCATTGAGGATGGTTCCATCAGCATTAAGAGTATTATACCTCGGAAATTCAAAATCCGAATTGTAATTGCTATGAATCTTATTACCACAGTGACGTAGAAGGCAATGAACAAGAACCAGAATAAAAGAAGGAAAGAGATGAGAAGAGAAAGGGAAGAAGATTAGAGAGAAGAGGGGAGAGGTAGAATGAAAGGGGAGAAGCCAACAGAAGAAATTGGAGGAGAAAGTCATCAAGAGTCCAACTTTATATAGGATTTAACCTACTAATAATACTAGAATGTCTGCGGATATCATACCAGAATAGCAATCACCAATTTCGCAGCAGACTATGTAACCGGTGGTGGTGGATCACTGTAGGTCGGAAAAAGTGACTGCGGCGTATGGTGAGAAGTATGCGCTGGTAGTGATGGTTCGACCAATGACTTGTGATTAAAACAAATAGTTGTGATCAATAGAGTAGTGAACTCCGAGTCGGAAGAGGATTGTGGTGGTCGGATTAGATGACGATGGCGGCAAGGACAGAAGTGGTACTGGTGGTGATCGGCCGGCGAGATTTCGACGGTTTTGTACGTCAATCTGATTTGGAGTGGAGAGAGATTTGTGTCGGGTTAGTGGGTATGGTTTTGAGGGCTGGGCATGTGGCTTTGATGTAGGTGGGCTTATCGTGGTAAGTTGATGAGGGATTGTGGGCTTGTGTGGGCTTGGGTTGGCTGTGATATGTAATAATTGGGCTAGTAGATGGGATTCGGATAAGAGGAAATTACATAATTCCAGGTATTTGAAAATCACAGTGCAAAAATCAGGTGAGAAATTTTTTTAATCAAAATTCAGGTATCCACCCGAGCCCTAATATAATTTCTCTCCCTCCCCTCGACATCTCTCATTTCTCTCCTCTCCACACTCTTTCTCTTCGACCTCTCTTCGACGTCGGCGATCCATTCGAACTCCAAAAATCGACGACGAAGGGATGCGCCGACCAACACTGCTGGCATCGGGTGATGCTGAGCTGATTCCACCCTTCGGTCAATAGATCGCTACTGCGAACTCGACGAACGGCGAACGGCGAGTCTTGGGCTGTGAGTGGTGGCCATTACACACAACAGCAGTATCAAACGTCTCCTCCTGACTTAGCCCACGCTCAATCCCGCAGGTGACCACCGTGTTTGGTTTCACCTTCTCCAGCTTCCCACCTGTGAGATCTACGACATTTTGGGGAATTTAATTTTTTCTCGTCTCTCTCTTTTTCTGATTTTGTGGTGGCTGGAGTTGGGGGTTGATCTTGTGGTGTTGAAAGTGCAAATGGCGGTGGCGGACTTGATGACTTGTTGGTGGGGTGGTGGCTGTGGTACGGTACTTTTGGGAGAGGTGGTGGATTTTGGCGGGCGATAGTGGTGCAGAGGTGTGGTGGAGGTGCTGTGGTGCAGTTGAGGTCTTGTGAGTGCGACGGTGGTGTAGTTTTGTGGGTGTGTTCGTGGTGCTGCGGGTGGCAGTCAATGGTGGTGTAGGTGGAGGATAGGGCGGATTTGGTGATTTGGTGTGCGGGTGTGTTGCTTCGACGCCGTGGGTGTGGCGGATTGGCGGTCGTTTGCTGTTGGCGGATCTGTGGGGTGGCGGATTGGTGGTT